AACAGCCAGACCCTCCCTGCCCTTTTGCAGGGCAGCAACTTCCAAGAAACCAAAACAAACCAAACTTAATAGGAAGCAGCACCTACAACACCATTAAAGAGTAACTGAACTTAAATTAAGTACCAATGATGACAGCAATGACATCACTATTCCCATTCAAGTTAGAACACATCATTCTTCATTTTTCATGTCAGAAGGTTTAGCGTGGAATTGTATCCTTCCAGGCACATGAACTTAGGAATAAACACTATGGGCTTTCTCAGCACAGTCACAGAAAGTTGCTTGCTTTCTTCACAGACCAAGGTTGAGGGCTCAGAGACACCCCCAGACTGAGCATCCCCTATGCACAAATCTGCACAAGGCTGAAGGTTGGGCAGAATTATACTTTGCTCAGAGCCAAGATGCTGAGCTTAAGTTTTATGTTTCCTTTTGGTTTACGGAAGTGTTCAAGGCTAAGCTAGATGGGGTTTTGTCTAGTGGAAGGTGTCCCTCCCCATGGCAGGGGGGTTGGAATGAGATGATCTTTAAGGTCCCTTCCAACCCAAATCATTCTGTGATTCTATGATCTTGAAATTATCATTACCAAATGTCAAAGCAAACCCAGTGTTCCCACCAGATGTTCCTGTTTGGGTAAAGGGTTTCTTAGTGAAATTAAAGAAAGCTCTCCTGATAGTGATTTAGGCCCTTACCTGTTCAAGTTAAGAAGCTAAGGTTCTGACAAATCTGAGCCAAGAAAAGTCTTAAAGGATATGGGGACACTCCAGTAGATATAAGGAAACAACTAATGTGACTATTTTAGGAAGCGATCATTGCTCATTTGCAGATCTGACTACAGAAAAAAACCCAAAAGCTGAGTGGTAGTCAACACACCAATAAACAATAAACTTTTCAACTTTACCAAAACAAGTATTCACATAATTTTGTACATAAAGATAGCCTGGCAGAACCTACCAGCTGTAGTACAGCAGAAACCGTACAGAAGATGGACAGGCTTGCTTTTGTCTGTTGGCTATTCTCCTTCATAGAGGAGATCCAGAGGGCCACAGGATGAGCAGCTGCTCCAACCTGAGGGAGCTCTGCACATGCTCTGCCTGGAGATCAGATATCCTCAGCTCTGGGAGAGGACCTTCAGAGCCAGCACTGTGGCACTGAAAGCCAGCCAAGTGACTCTGTGACTGAGCCCTCAGCCAGGTCTCCTGATCCATCTGGTCACCAGTTACTATCAGCTACGTGCAGTGTGCACGTAACACAAGCCTGGAATGGAAGGAAGGTTTTTCAGGAAAATGCTGCCCACTCTAATAAAGGTTAAGAGCTAGACAAGTTTCCACATGGATGGCACCCTCTATTTCAGACAAACACTTGGTAATTTTTAATTTGTGACAGAACTACTTGAGCTGCTGCAGACGTGTATAAAGATGCATATGTTGCACATACAAATGTGTATATACATGCACACATTTGAATTCAAGTGAGTGGGAAGTATGAGGACGCAGAGGTGTGACTTCAGCCTCCCATAACTAATGCAACAGTGCAGAATCATTTGTTCTTCCCTTTGTGTTGCACACACAGGAAACATCTGATTTTTGTTTCAGCAAAGTACTTTTAGGGGGTGAAAAGGTTGGTTTTAAAGTTCATTCTGTTCCTACAAAGGAAAAGGCAAGAGCTTTGGGAGAATACACAGTTTGCTTCACTAAAAAAGATGGGTCCTTAATATTGTTCCTCACTGTGCCAAACTTGCTTGTACTTGTGGATGTGATAACCAGTGCAAATTGCTTCTGCAGGGTTTATGCACTTCTGCTTTATCCCAAACCCTCAACACCTTCCTCTTCCGAGTAATCTCAAAACCAGAAGGAATTATCCTCTTATCCACAGAGTAGCTTGCAGAGCACCGAGGGCAGGATTACAAAGAAGCCCCACACACACCCCTGCAAGGGCACTTATGCCTTGCAGGCTGGGTAATTCTTAACCTCAGATGAATTACTACAGGGAAAGGACAGACTGCACACACAGCAAATCTGCCCTTTACAAGGTGCTCAAAGCACTTCAAGAACAGCAAACACCACCTTCCTCGACAACACGGATTCTTCCGGAATTCGTGGAGCTTCCACCCTGGCAGTCTGTAACAGCTGTAATTCCCCCCATTGTACAGTGGAGTAGGAGAGCTGTGAAGTAATTATGAAGCAACAATGAGCTTATGGGTTTCATATTAACTAAAGCAGATTAAAAGTTTTTAAAGACATATTTCTTTTAATTACTCATTCAAAAATCTCAATTAGAACTGCGCTGCACACAAATGGGACATATTATCAGTATGGCTCTGCTCAAACACGACAGAAATGCCAGAACTGTAGAGTTGTACCACCACCTTAACAGGCATCAAAATGCTACATCAGCCTTTAGCAGCAGCTCCACATCAACGTACTCCATCCAAACTCGTTCAGTTCAAAACTGAGAAATTACTAAAGTTAAGACAACTCAAGAAAATTTTCTCTTATTTTACAGATTATTAAAAAAAAAATAAAAAATGCAAGCAGAGCTTCACAGCTCTAAAAATAACAAGGAAGAGTAAAACTGAAAAGCCAGACAGGTCCATTCCTCAGCTGAAGAGACACCTTTTGTTTATTCAGTCTGTCTTAAATATGCACCTATTAATTTTACTCTAAGTCCACAAAATTCAACTTGAACTGATTTGATTGACTCCATATCTATAAAATTGTAAATGCCTGACCTGCCTTCGTCTAAGGCATCTTGATGCAAACAATGAAGTAGTAAAACAAACAAAGCCTCTTGCATATCTATATAACTGTGTGTTAACACAAAGGAGAACTAGAAGTCAGTTCTGTGGTCACACGTGATGGGGCACACATCCTGCCAAGCTCTGCCAACAGGATTTGGAGAGTGAACAGGGAAGAAAATGGATCAGAGGGAACACACCGCAGCCCCCTCTGTCTCTCCTGGGCAGATAAGATTAACCACGTACCCTCTACAGACCAACTCAAACTCTGACAATACTGGTTAAAAACTAAAGTTTTGTACAAGAATTTCCCCTGGCATTTCAACAGTTCCAACTGTATTTCTATCATGGTTTTCACTTGTTAAAGTGAAGGGCTTTAAACTGCCCTAATCATAAGACAGGCTGATTCCCACCACAGTTGCTGACATTCTGTCCTCCCTCATCTTTCCTGGCAAGAAACTTCTTTCTTTTCCCCTTCTAAAGCCAGTTAGTCTATTCTAGGCTGAAAAACCACAAACATTTCACAATGAAAAGTCAATCACAGAACAGCTACAACAGCATCTGAGCAGGGCCCTCACTCTCACATCTGCACAAATTCTCATAGAAAACTTCTGCAATTTAAATCTACCTGTCCGTATCCCAAGAGTGATACATGATTAAAACACAGAATAAAACCAAAGACTGATGGACCTGTTACGCACACTGAACATAACAAAAGAAAAGCCACACTGAATCGAGCCAGAAGTCTACCTATTCCAGCAGCTAGTCCAGCAGGACACTTCACTATATTCCACCTCCACCACAGTATCTGGGGAGCATTTCAGAAGCTGCAGTGAACTGCCAGGCACTACTGCCAAACAGATACAGCCACACTCCTGACAAGAAAATGCACCAGTTCCATGCAATGTCAAAATGCCACTGCACACAGGAGCAGCAGGACCAGGACAGTACCCCCAGCCTGAGAAGGCAAAAACACCAAAACATATTTAGAGTAAGGAAATGCACCCAAGCACTGCCCCAAATTAGGACTAAATAAGGAGTATTTAACCTGCACATAGGAGAAAAAGAAAATAACCTATTTTAGTCAAACTACATCCACTCTCCAGGAACTGTCAGCAAGCCAGATAAATGGCACAGGTGAAAAGCTCTGTATTGACCTGTGCCAGTCTAAGGTGTGACAGCTGCATCCCTCTCACCACCTTTCCACCCTCTGGAGCAAATATTTGCACTCAGGCAAACACGTGGTGAACCACTTCGGAGAGCTGAGCCAGCTGAAAGCCATCCTACCAGAAACAGCCTTTTTTAATTTTCTTTTTTTTTTATTCAAAATTAACTCTCTGTGCTGACTTACTGCTCAGTCACAAGGAGAGGAACGTGTGGCTGGGGCCACAGAAGCCCCAAGCCACCCTAGCTCAAGCTGCCACAGAACTGCAGCATGGATGAACTGCTAATACTGCAAACAAGAGTAATTCCAGTCTGCGGTGAGAGCAACAGATCACGCTGTTTAGACTCCAGTCACCATGGCATCCACCTCGGTACATCGGGACGGGATGAGAGGCTGTTTTGCAAGCCAGCTCTCACATTTCTCTTTGTTGGAGTTCGTTTGACTAAAGAGAATGGGAACACTGGAATGGGGACACCTCTGCACCTGCAGAGCACTGAAAAGGTCTTTAGTCTTTTAACAGAACTCAGCACATGCCTATTTCCAGAGTGAGAGGAGAGGGCAACGCTGAGCCTTTGGAGCAGAATATTGCTTTTCCTTTTCCAGACTCTAGCAGAGTTTGCCCACGGCCCCTGCAGGGCTGCGGGACACAGCCCCCTTTTCAAAAGGAGCCTTTCGAACGCCGAGCACGCCCGCCAGTTATTTATACTGAGCTTTAGCACCATCACGTGACGGAGAACTGCGGCCTTACGATTAAAAAATACCCTTACAACCGATGCTGCTTCACCCTGCACAGAAACTCGGACACAGCCTGCGAGCCGCCCCTCGCTCCTCTCCTGGAAAAGTTCCTACCCGCAACGAGCACAGGGAACAGCCTCGCAAGGCAACACCGTAACCACCCCCAGCAGCTGCTGCAGCTGCACAGAGCCAGAGCCTGGGCTGGGTCTGACGACGAGGGTTTGGGCAGGGCTGAACCGCGGCCGGGCGGCAGCAACAGGTGAGCGCGGGGCGGGCCGGGCCCCGGGGAGGCGCTTCCGCGGCCACTGCTCGCCCGGCCCGGCCCCGCCACACCGGGCCTGTCCCTCCCGCCCCGGCCCCTCGCACCTTCCAGCCGGCGGAGCTGTTGCTGTCGCCCTTGTCCTTGAAATAGGGCACGGAGCGCACCATCCACTCGTAGATCTGCGCCAGCGTGAGCCGCTTCTCGGGGGCGCTCTCGATGGCCTGGCTGATGAGCTCGGCGTAGGACTGGTTGCCCCAGGCGTTGCGCCGGGAGCCGCCCT